ACACTATCTTAGTTTTGACGTGAGCCTCAGCAGCTTGAATTGCCACCACTGCTTTACCGAGCCAGCCGCCATCATACCAGGAATGCCCCACCAGCTTCCCTTCTTACTCTCGACGGTGTTGCCATGTTGATGGATGAGGTCAGTGAATGTCTCGGGAATCTGTGTGTTATCTTACACATAGATAGATAGATTGATGTGTATGTGTATATACATATGTATAAATGTAAGCACACACACAAACACACATACATGCACGTGCGCACACACACACACGCACACACACACACACAACACACACACACACACACACACACACACACACACACACACACACACACACACACACACACACACACATACATGCACACACAGACATGCACTCATGCACATCCACACCACATGCACATGCACATGCACATTCCACACGCACATGCACATCCACACGCACATGCACACACACGCACATGCACATCCACACGCACATGCACACCACACGCACATGCAACATCCACACGCACATGCACATCCACACACGCACATGCACACACACACGCACAATGCACACACACACACACACAACACACACACACCACACACACCACACACACACACACACACACACACACACACACACACACACACACACCACACACACACACACCACACACACACACACACACACACACACACACCAAACACACACACACACACACAACACACACACACACACACACACACACACACACACACACACACACACACACACACACACACACACACACACACACACACACACACACACTTATACATACATATATATATATATATACATTCACATGTAGATATGTATGTTTTATGTATACAGGTAGATAAGTATATGTATGCATATGACTGTCAAAACAGCAAACATAACAGAGCCTACCCTAAAATATCACAAGACAATAGGCAATTAAGAAATAATGAGAGACATACTTCAGCCAATTATACTATTGATAAGGCATGCATCTGCCAATCAGAATATGACATATGATATATAAACAGATAATTCCTTTTGCTTGAATGGCATTAGCTACTCAGTTGAGGGCATAAACAAGTAATATTATTATCTCTCTCGTAAATGCATTATTATTACAGTGAATGTAACATTTGAAAAGACTGCAGTAGTATATAATATATATATATATATATATATATATATATATATATATATATATATATATATATATATATATATATATATATATATATATATATATATATATATATATATATATATATATATATATATATATATATATATATATATATATATATATATATATATATAATATATATATATATATATATATATATATATATATATATATATATATATATAATATATATATATATATATATAATATATATATATATATATGTATATATAAACATATGTATATATATATATATGCATATATATATATATATATATATACATATATATATATATATATATATATATATATATATATATATATATATATATATACATATATATATATACATATATGCGTGCGTGCACGTGTTTACCTAGTTGTTTCAATACAGGAGAAGAGCTAAGCTCAGGTGCTCCCATCTGCTATATTTAAATTTTTGTATGACTTTTTAAATTGATGCACAGTTTTAGCACACACTACGTGTTTGGGGAGACTGTTCCATGCTTCAATAGTTCTGTTTGGGAAACTATATTTTCTGACATATTTATCACCTCTTTTTACTTTCAACTTTTTGTTGTGTCCTCTCGTTCTTCTTGTGTTCAAGATCAAAAAGTCAACTTTATTTATCTTCACTCTTCCTGTAATGCAGTTGAACAGCAGTGTGTGTGTGTGTGTGTGTGTGTGTGTATGTGTGTGTTTGGTATTTTAGAGTCAGATCTGTACAAATTATTATTAAATGTTCCCCCCCAAAAAAAGTTCTAAAAAAAAGACATGATGTTAATTACTTGAAAGGGAATATGTGGTAATGTGCTTACTTTCTTGTGGTAGGATGCCTCGATTAGCAGCCTGGATTCAGAGGTTGACCTGGGAGAGCTGCTTGGTGCCATGGATGATGCCCTGAAGGAACAAAATATGGCTAAGGTTACGGAGGTCAAGGCATTGGTAGAGCAAGGTATGGTAGCCATATGTTAATTGATTCTTAGCATCTGCATCCTCAAAAAAGAAATTAGATAAACAGTAATGAGAAGAAGTAATTCAAATGTTGAAGATTAAGGTTTCTAATTTTTTTTTTTTTTTTATGATTTCAGGTTTGAGTGTATTCCTCTCTTCATGCAACCACCAGGAGGGCTGGCTCGGGCTAGCAGAGATGAGAGCGCAGCAGTACGGCCAGCTGGCTAATTTACTCCTAAGTTACATTCCCCAGTATGCAGAGTGTTATGAGTCATACTCCTTGGCTCTGGCTCTCAAAGACTTATCTAGACATCATTTCATAGTAAGAGAGTGTATATCCTTATCACCTGTTCTCTTCTATCAAAAAATGGAATAATATGTATACAAGAGTATCTAATTCAGTGCACTAGAATATTTACCAAGCAAGTTATCCCTTTATTAATTCAGGTGATAATATAATCCATTGAAATATTTCAGAGTGTACGTGAGGAAATGAGCAATGTCCTGCAGTATGTTGATAGTGAAAGCATATCTCAGATGGTTCTTCAGATGACAGAGCAGGTGAATTATCTGTAGGCTTTCAAGAGTTTATGAGGAACACAAGATATGAACCTTTCACTTTCCTTGATACTTTGTTCTGTATTTACAAGTAGGATCATGTGGGCCCTATGGAAAATCTTTATTCTTAATCACAGAGTTTTCATCTATGATTGCTAATATATGTAAAAACATAATTAGAATATACATATTACCTTTTCCCTTAGGTGTCGTTCTATTTCCGAAGTGTTGAGCAGCTGCAGTTGCCACAAGAAGGATCTGGTCACAAGGAGTTATCAAAGCAGCATGCAGTAAGTTTATTTTATTGATGCACTGTAATTCCAAATGTGTGTGTGTGTGTGTGTTTGTGTGTGTGTGTGTGTGCATGTATACCTGTGTGTGAATGCCTGTGCATGTGTGCCTATGAGTGAGTGAGTGAGTTAGGATGAGCAAAGAAATTTGGAGCCTGACCATGACCTTTAAACTAATAGTAAAATGGAGTATAACTATTTTGATTATACCATTAACAAAAGCCAAAGAGATCAACCAGGGCAAGATCATTCTTTCTAGTAGCAGGTTCTCAGAAAGTTCATGTCTTTTTTTAATGCCAATCTACTATTTGTATGTGTGCACATCTCCGTCTGTTATTTTGCTTGTATCAGTGTAATTGCAGATGCAGTACGTAATGAATTGCTTGTTCCTATATTTTTACATAAAATGTGTATTCCTATGTGAATAAATCACATAATTAGAATATTAATGAAAGGAATATATAATCATATACATTATAACTTTCAAACATTTTCCTTTATATAAAAAAGGTATGGGGAGAGAAGCCCATGAAAGAGATTTTAGAAGATGCACTACAAAGAGGTTTGGTGAAAGCTGCAGAGTCCTACCTGCAGCTGAAACCCTGGGTGTATGGTGCTGTCACAACTAACATGGTCATTTCAACCTGCATTGACATAGCAAGACAGAAAGAAACTGAAAATTCTAAGGCTGAAATTTTAATGAACATGGTATGTTTCTATTTGATGTTGGATTTCTTTTTGGGGAAGAAAATGTATAGACAGTGTATATAAATACAAGAAAAAAACATGAGAGTTTAAGCACAGTTAGAAACATCTCTTATTTACACATATATTGTTTTATTATCATTGTTATTGACAGGATGACAGTTAGAAATATCTCTTATTTACGTAAGTTTATATATTGTTTTATTATTATTATTGTTATTGACAGGATGACTGTTACAATGAAGCACTAAAGCAGATTTTGCATTCAAGTGATGACCTCTTTGAAGTACAAGTACTTGGTACAGTGTTAGGAGCAAGGAGCCTTCTCAGTGTTGTGGAAACCCATGCTGTTAATCTGGTTATCAACATACACAGAACTTTGCCTGATCTCTTGACTCTACCGCCACAGTAAGTCGTGCTTTATAGTGTGTGACTACTTGAATGAGTGCAAGAAAATTATTCTCATAATATTCTGTGAGTGTGTATAGGCACATTACACTGTTATGATGTTTGGTGTGCAAGTGTAAGAACATTTTATTCTTTTGCTGTTTTATTAATGAATGTAGGTAAGTCATACTCATATAGTACTTGATTAATTGAGTGCAAGAATATGTTATGGTATTTGATTGGTTTATCTCAGTATCTTATGGCATTTTTTTATTTATTTCATTAGCCTTTTAATTATGAAAAAATAACATTGGTTTCATTCCAACAGAAAACCATAAAGGTTAATAGGAATAAAACGTTTTGAAAGGGAAATATATAATGGAAGTATAACACTAAGAAGGAGACACTATAGATGTGATAGAATGAATATGCTTATGATCTGCAGAATGTGAAAGATTTAGTAGAGGATAAAATATGTTATGTTTAAAAGATTAAACAGATATGCTGCTTATAAATTTTAAGGTAGTTGGTCATTTGAATATAGAGAAAAATGTATTTATTCTGAAAATGAGAGAGGTCTTGCACTTAAAAAAAATAATAATAATAATAATGAGGTGAATTCTAAACCAGAAAATTTTATTTTGAGAGCATGAAATTATAAGGTAAGTAAACCACTGCTATACACTGGATTAATCAACCAGTTTATGTTTGATGTTTGAACATTTTGATAGGCAAGTGCTGTGATTTCACTTTTAGCAGTGGCAAATATATTTATACTTTCTTTAATGTCAAGATCAGATCTATTGTCATAATAACACATTTCTTTGAGTAGAATGATTTTACAAATTATTTGGTAAGTTGAACTACAGTACAGAAACAATTAAATTTGCTCATTTCGTTTGTGAATGTAAAGTCTGTATGCAGAAATTTATTTAAGTAGGAACTGATGCTTTCTTTTCTTTTAGGGTTTGGACAGAACTTGTAAAGTTAGGTGATGCCTCGGCTGATGCTGTCACTGGACCAATGACAGTGAAGCAAGTATCACAGTGGACTCCCCTATCCATGATGCTGGTGATGACTGACCTTTATGCCTGTACTGCAGGTAAGACTGTTTGTGTTCCTTATTGTTGTAATTATTTTGTAGTTATTGTTATCATCATCATCATCATCATAGTTGTCATCAGTTTTCCTTACAGAAGCATTTTCATTACTTCACATCATCATCTTCACAGTTATCATTATTTTCTTTCGTGATGCTGATAATTGCAGGGCATTTTTATATGGTATTCATTTTTATTATTTACATTTGGATATGGCATACATTGTCTCTGCAGAGCAACACAAAAAAGTCATGAAAGCAGCAAAATCTGGTAAAAGTGTAGATAATAAATCCAGATTGATCATGAACCATATCAAAGATTTTGGTGATAGAACAGAATTAATAGGCATATTATTTTTTCCATACCATATATATACAATCTGACTTTCAGATCCGGAGATCTTGCAGAGTGTGGATGCAGATGTGATGTGGCAGTATCTCCTCCACCAGCATGACATCAGGAATTTAAAGAAATGGATTCTCTTAGAGTTCAATGGCCAAGACCAAGACCAAGAGGGTGATGTCACACTGCGCGAGGAGCAGGCTTGGTCGGATCCCGCCTACCGATCACCAAGGAGGTCACAGCCAACAGCATCAATGCCTGAAACCCTGGGGGAAATCTCTGAAACAAAGCACCTTGGGCCCAACCTTTTCAGTGGCCCACAGTATGGCAGTGAATTTGGATCGTCTCCGCAGTCTCAGGATGAGCTCTCAATTGAGTCTACTTCGCTAGGACCTGGTGATGCTGATACATGGAGTGTCCAAAGCTTCGAGGTCCATGATAGAAGGGATACTTTGTGGTCCGTGCAGCATTTCAAGCCTATTACCCAGAGCATGGTAGATCTTGTTGTCATTGCAAAGGAGGCATTCGTGGAAGTCGTACTGAATATCCTAGCTAGATATGGGGTGTTCATCACAAAAGAGAAGAAAGATCCACAGCTGCTAATGAGGCGCCTGCTTGTGTCAGGAGCTTTTGAATTGGTCTCCAGCTTCAAGGGCAACCACAGCTGTCAGGTCTTAGAGAGGGACATCCACACTACTCTCTTAAAATTCTTTGGAGACAATGACTTTGTTCTCCCAGCATATGACTATGTTGAACACTTCTCACCAGATGGAGGAAATGAACTCCTGGTTGACCTTGAAATGCCACCCTGGGCTAATCTGATTGTTGCCTTCAGGAAACTAGGTGAATCTCATTCAAAAGACACTATCTATGATCTGAGCTTAAAGAATCTTTCCCTCTTGAGTGAAAAGTGTCAAAACCCAGAAGAATTGCACCTTCCTGCATTTCTTACCATGCTCTTTGCTCCATCAAGCTCGCTGGAGAATTTCATCACATGCAATCCTGACAAACTAGAGGCCACTGATGAAGGTGAAATTTCATCTTTATATGCCATCCTATCTAAACACAATACCACACCAAAGCAGGTGATAGAGGGACTCTCCCTGAAGTATCCATATTTAGAGAAGCTGAAGAAAAAAACAAATGAGGCCACATTGGATGTAACTATGTATGATCTCTTGTGTGGGAATGTTCCTTATGACATAGCAAGACTCTTCACATGGCAGCCAGGGAACAAGTGAGTAATTCCAGTCATTAGGGTTTTATGATCTGGAGTATAAATTGAGATTTAGAGTAAATGCCTTGATAACTTGATATGGTTTTTAGGATTTTGTTATTTTTACTATCAAAATACAATTTGTTATCCTTTTTTTCTCTCCTATTCACAGGCAAGGTTATGACGAAGATGGAAAACTTCCTTGCTTCTCAGACGAAGAACTGATCAGCAATTATGGTCTCCAACACTCCCTAGATTTCATGTATTACCTTAGAGAAGCCAGACCCACATATGCGTGTGCAGCTATAATGACAAGCATGTATCTAAATAAGTCAAAGAAGAAGTAAGTGTTGAATTCAGACAGTTCTCAACTGTAATTTATTTCTTCATTAGCATGGTTATGCAGTGTATTATATTTTAAGTATGCTAAATAATGTAGGAATTATTGCAGATTGAGGCATATGTATTTAGATATTCACAAATGTATGTAAATCTTAAAAGTGTTTATCACTTGCCATATTTTTATTTAGCCCGTAAAGACTGCTCCCAAGCCACAAAAAGAAACAATAGGTAGATTTGGGTTTTAATGTTTGAAGGTCTCAATTTTCACATTAGAAAATTTATGTATATCAGATAGTTGCCCAACAGTAGAATAGCAAAGTTGAAAATATTACCTCTTGTATATGAGTGAAAGTGGGGAAAACATAAAGTAAATAAAGCAGATATAATGAAATAAAGCACATGTCATCTGATTTTTCATTTAATAAATGATTCATTAATGTTTGTATATAAAATACAGATGATAATGCAAAATACTGGCCCAACCATTTTAGAGACCAAGTAAATGAAGGTAAAAGGGAGAAGATCTTCGGGGAAAGAGTCAGGGAATGGGATGGTGTGTGTAAACAAGCATTTTTTCCTTGTTCGATGATACCAGTTACATTACAGAATTCTAACACTGTATGCCATCTTTGTTTTCATATGTAAAATTGTATTCTCCTTGATATTTTTGATACTGTAGAAAAGTTAATTTTTCACTCACCCAACTGACACAGGGTTGAAGATGTGAAGGGTGCCATTTATGGGCTGGCACTTGGCTGTTGGCCTGAACGGGCCATTTCTGCTGCTTGTGTTGCCGTACTGCTCATGACTGGCCTTCCTGCTAATCCACTGAGAACAATCTTGGCAGCAGCTTTCCAGGTAAATGTGTATTTCATTTCTTATCTTCTATCATTTCAAATTTGGTAAGATTACAAATCAGTGAATCAGTTGAAGGGTCTTGATGTACTCTTATCAATAATGGTAAATTAAAAGATTTGATTATTTTTGATATATTAAAGAAAGTCAAGATTTGTGTTTTCCCCTATATATATTCTAGCTTCTATTTTTTTTGTTTCTCTAATTTATTACAACTGGTAATTTTTCCTCCTCAGATTTAATGTATTTCCTCATGCTTCACTAAACATTTTGTTCACACTATCATTCTTAATGAAGTGATATTTTCCCCTTCAGATTTTACAAGCTAGAAATGAAAGCTGTGCCAAGTTAAAGTGGGAAAAACGCCAAGCACAGGAGCATTTAACCACCACTGAAATCAAGGACCTTCTTCACCAGCTCTGTGAAGTCAGCACACGAGTCACAGCAGCAAAGATGGTACTGAAGATGCTGGAGGATTGCGTCATGATGGCTCTCATGGAAAAAGCCAAAGAGGATCAAAGTGCATTGAATGAGAGAGCAGAGAAAGAGGACACCAAAAAAGACGATAGTACAGAGAAAAATAAGTTATCAATAGAGCATGTACAGACATTCATGGAAGGCATGAGACTTTGCATGGAATTCTGTTGCATATATGAGCTTCCATGGCCAACAAGGCTTCTGAAACACCTGGCTGAGTTGGATCAATGGTTGCTTTTCCTTGCATCAGCACAGATCTACAAGTTTCCAAGAGATGAGGTGCTGAAAGCTGCTGAGTCTTTCCGGAGTATAGCTCTACGGGAACATATGTTGTTTGCCCTAACACATATATACTACTACCGTGAGGGTCGTGAACCCCGTGAGAGGTCTAGAGAAGGGTCTCGCAGGACTAGATCATCATTGTACTCAAGAATTGGCATCAAAGTCAGAGAAGATTCACTGTCACCAACTCAAAGCAGTGATGAGAACCCAAGGAGTACAAGCCCAAGTGAGCCAGAGGTTTCCATTATTGACGATGCTTTGTCATTTACAACAACAGAAACATGCCATGATTTTGGAATTGATTCATGGTTGTCATATCGACATAATGATATTTACTCTATTCTCCTGACTTGTCATCAAAGAGAAAATGCAGCTTCAGAGCTTGTCACTGCAGCAGTTGCTTTAAATATTCCTATATTGTGTGTATTTGCTGCTTGCTATGAGAGACATAATGTTTTTACATGCTTGTCAGTCTGGTTGTACACACAGCTACCTAAGGCAGCCAAGAAGACATTGCATCAACATTTAATCAAAAGTGAAATTTACATGAGTCTTATTAATGACAATTCAAAGTTAAAACAACCAGAGGGTAACTGCTGTCGTACATGTGATAACAATGTTCTGCAAGCACTTCAAGATGATTTGAAATGGATCCTCTTAGCTCATATATCAAAAGGATCTGTAGATGTAGCTGTTGAAGGACTAAAGATATTCCTTCCTAATTCCCCCATTTTATCCCTGCTTTTAGCAATAAAGGAAGTGAATGGAATGTGCTGCAAAGAAAAGGTAGAGAAGTACCTATCTGCTTCAGCTTCAGCATTAGAGAATGAAATCTGTCTTGAATCATATGCCGCAAGTGGTAGAAGAGAATGGTCAACAAGAACCATGATTGACATCATTGGCAAAGCCCTTGATGAATTCATAACAAATAGTCATTTGCAGTGCTACTTTTTATCTGCTATAACTGCAATAAGTCAGCAGCCTCCCTTCAGTAGCCATAATGTAAACTGGACTTTGATTGGACAGCTTTGCAAGGCTTTGGGCTCAGTGAAACATCAAGTGACTTTTTTGGATCTGCTTTGGTGTTTTGAGACAGGTGAATTGAAGACCTATGCTAATAGCATTGTCTCATGCTTAAGTGAAAATAGGTATTTTTCAGAGGCTCTTTCAGTGTCACAGCTAACATCTCTGCCAATATTTACAATAGTGTGTGCCCAGCTGCGAGCAGAGTTTGAGAAGAATCAAGGCACTGTTATAGAAAACTTATCAAACTTGGAGGATTACCTTGCCAAGAGCCAT